ATCTAGGTTGCGTCCTGAAAAATCCTTGGCCCTTTCTTGATTGGAAGGGTCATCAAGAGATTATTGGCAATAATGGGGAAATGATTTATGACTAGGCTAGCCAAAGTGATCACTATTAGAAGACAAAACAATGAGAACACTTACAAGAATAGCAAATAGCAATAAAAGAGCTAAGGCCCTAACCTAAATCAAACAGAGGATCAATTGAAGTAAGTGAAAAATCCAAATTTAGTTAGAAAGCCAATGGCTTGTTCATAAAGACAAGGAAAGCCTTAATAAAAAGGTGAATACTTACTCAAACTAAATGTGTGAGCAAAGCGTTGAGAGAAAACTCACAACATTATTTTTTTCTTATAACAACAATTGAAAATTGTAGCCAAAGGCATTAAAACTATTGTCAAAAGCTAAAAACAAGCATTAAAACTATTGTCAAAAGCTAAAAACAAGCATTAAAACTATTGTCAAAAGCTAAAGGCAACATTTTTGAATTTATGCATGTTCCAGTGTTACTTATGATAAAAGGCAACAGTTTTGCTTTCTATTGCTACACATTTCAAGAACTATTACATATATTTTAGTAATAAGCAATAGTTCTTATATCAACCTATTGCAATAGTTCTTGAATGTTGTATATCATATAGTTATTGGCAACAATTAAGAACTATTGCATATATGTAAAATAGGAAAAAAATTAAAATTTTCTGTCCATACCTAGTATTCAAGCCCCAAACCTCAATGAATTAAGGAATAACTCTTACCACTTTTCCAAAGCCATTATCAAGTCATTTGATGCAAATTATTTTATATGTTGATAATTTTTAAAGTTACTTTTTAATTTAACTAATTAATAATTTAATAAATCAATCAATTAATTATTTAATTAATAAAAGTATAACAAAAAATATTAAGTTTAAAAGTAAATTGTTTTGTATATAAAAATATAATACGCAACGGTTATTAAATGTTGCCAAAAGAAACATTTAAAAGCAACATTTATATAATTGTTGCTTATTAGAAAATGGAACAATTCTTAAATGTTATGAAAAAAGTTATTTTATAAACAATAGTTCTAATATTGTCTATTTGAAAAATGTAATTCAACAGTTTAAAAGTGTTACCTATCCTATGTTAAGCAATACTTTTCAAATGTTATCAAATATATTTGCTTAAAGTAGCGTCAATTGCAATGCTTAGAAAATGTTCCTTATATACACATAAGGCAACATTTTCAGAACGGTTGCAAAGCAAAGTATTGCTAGCAGCCAAAAATATTATAGTGGCACCTTGAAAAGTGAGTTGGGAAATCAAGGTTAGATCAAACCTTATGATAGTTTCTGAATCTTGGAACAATAAAAAAACTTGGCTTACCTCATTAGCAACGACGGAAGATGAAGAAACCATTGCAAGCTAAGGACATCGTAAGTTCTAAGAATTGTTGGAAGAAATCGTGGGAGAATAAAGAAAGCCAAAGAAAAGAGTAAAGTGAGGAGAAGAGAAGCCAAGAGTTTAAATATGGTTCTACAACCTAAGCAAGAAGAGCACTTAGGAAAATGATGGTAGTGTACTAGAAACATGTGTGGAGCAATCATTGCCCATATCCAAGCTTGACATATGGATTGTAGAATATGGAAAAGCTAAAGCATATGTAGCTATTTCTCTCCCTTGGCACTGAAACATCGATCATGAGGGGTAATTGTTTGGACTAAAAATGGTCTATTGGGTCTAAAGGAAAATTGGCAGAAACCTAATCCAATTCAAAGAAGGATACAACTTAACAACAAGCCAATTTCACATAGGCAAGATAACGCCTTGTTTAAGTAGTTAATGATGCAGTCTTGCCCACGTTTCTTATTACTCGACTATCTCGGCACACACTCTCTCCTTACTTTGCATGACAAGGCATACCTTTGATTATAAAATGGCACGGGCAAAAATTTACTCCTTTGTGGTGCCAAACTTGAATTCAAAAGGAGTGTAATGTTTGTCACTTTTTGTAAACAGGCAATGAGCGCATGACTAAAGGATTCTTGACACTCTGCCAAACTTATATAAGATTTGCCAAGTACAAAACACCAATCTTAACCTCACATCCATCAACATCTCTCAAGGAAAACTACTTCATCTATATAAGCTTGGCTTCCTAGGCTAGTTGTGTCTGTCCCTTCATATCCACAAAGCATCCATTGTATTAAATCATTTGTAATACAATTCAGCCTTAAGCATCACTTAACGCACTTTCTATTTTTTGCATGCACTTGGCTTTCCAAAGAAATTGTGATGAAGGACTTTGAAAACCCACTTGATCGTTTGATCCAACTCATAATTTTGAGAACACACTCCTCTAACATGCCTGGCACACCCCTAAAATCAAGCTAATACTATATATTAATATAGTAATGTGTGCGCACACGTGTGTAATAAGTAAATTATGACTAGGATACCTAACGCCTCATTTGGTTTGGCTGAAATATGAGACAAGGAAAATGCAAGGATGGAAAATGACTAAATTCTTGGGTTTGGCTGGTTAACTTAAATTTGCCTTCAATGTAATTGATTTACCAATTAGGACTTAAAATTTAAATTATTTAGACAGACCAAAGGAAAATATGGAGAATATAGATTTTCCTGAGACATTGTTTTTATCCCAACAATAACTTCATCTGCCCACCACTCTTTCCATAAAAAAAAATATATTCTTGAGAAAACATTAATAATTATCTTACGTGCAAATTTTATCTCCACTAATAAATTTATTTTAGGTTTGGCCAAAAAAAAAATCTATTTAGGTCCGTCACTAGATATTTAAGATTTATTTTTTTAATAAGCATATGGAGTAAACTCTACCAATAACAACAGAAAATATCTCCTCCAAAATTATAAGAATTATTGTTAGATTTCTTTTAATTAAGTGACAAGAACTTCTATCACTCGGATGTGGATCATATGCAGTAGGAATGGTAAAGTAGATGGAAATTGGAAAGTTGGCTCATCTTATCCATTCATTTCATCTAATGGTTGGGAAGAAAAGGATACATGGAAAGCTTTATTATCTGCAAAACGCTCAAAATTTTTCTATAATAAAAAATTACTTCACAATTTAAATTATAAAAAATTATTTATGATACTTTAAATATTCTGAAGAAATCGTTCGTGTTTTTTTTTTCCTCTACAAGTGTCCCTTCCTTAATGTTTTGTATATATTTACTTTTAACTTTTACTAATATTATTGACTATTTTCCTTAAAAAATTATTTTTATTTTTTATTTTCACATAAAAAATTTTACTTCTCAATTTAAATCTTAAAAAATTATAAAAAATTTAATTTAAATATTTTGCAAAGATTGTACCTATTCTATCTAATGAATTTTTTTAACAATAAAAAATTTATAATTTAAATCTTAAAAATTATGAAAAATGTTAAAAAAATATTTTAAAATATATAAAAAAATCGTACTTATTTAACTAATGAAAATTTTTTTATTTCTAATTTCAACAGTAAAAAAAGTCAACACTCTTAAGTATAGAAAAAGTTTGAGTGTTTTGCAAATAATAAAGCTTTCTACACATCCTTTTCTTCCCAACCATTAGATGAAATGAATGGATAAGATGAGCCCACTTCCCATCTACTTTACTATTCCTACTGCATATGATCCATATCCCTATCACTCACGTTAAAAGTTTAATTTAACTTCATTATAGCGCAGACTTGTGCAAGCTAATCGTGCTACTCCCTCCACACCTTTTCATTAAAGACATTTAACAATTTCAATTTTATTCTTCAAAGTAACCTTGAATAATGTTTATTAAATTTCAGGCCAAAAAAAAATGTAATGTTTATTAAATTAGTATAATATTAATTCTTGATATAATTATTACTAACTGTATAAGAAAAATAATTAACTAATCCTTTTGAAACGTGTACAATTTCTTATAAAACGATAAAAGATATAAAATATGATTGAACTTAAACAAAGTTTTATAAGGAAAGAAAACAAATATTCAAAACAAACAAAACCTACCTGACTCAAGCAAAAACTGAGTTCATTTGTTGAGGATATGAGAAGGCTGATTGGTTTAGATTTAATTTTTTATTTTATTTTTTTTTAAATTAAAAATTAAAAAATTATAAAAATTGTAAAAATTTTTATTAAATTCTATCATTCTAGAAAATTCAAATCTAATATGAATTGTTCACATTTAATTTATAAAAATTATAAAAAATTAATATTAAACCTACACTTTCTAAAATATATCTAAAAAGTCAATTTATAAAATATTAAATATTAAATGTGAATAATTCATATTAAATGGAAACTATCTATATAGGTGAACAGATTTATAAAAAAAATTTTATAACTTATATAATTTTTTTATTTTCCAGACGGTCCAAACTCCACAACTCCTTAGAAAAGTCAACTCCAACAAAAGCCAGACGACACTGGCAAGTAATAAAGTCCATAAACATGTCAACCAACAAAACAGAAAGGTGAGCAGTTCAAAAAACGACACAGCAAAATCTAGACAGAGAAACACCTCCACAAACTGTTCTATAAATATAAATTATCGATGAGGAAAATGGACGAAACACAAACGATTAACCAACAAATAATCAAACTCAATATTTATTTGAATTAAATATTAAAATTTAAAAGCATTAGTCTCCATCCATTTAAAGTTACAAATTGAAGTCAAAACAAACAGATAATCAACAATTACCCATTAAATAAGATTGTGATTATAAACATAAATAATTATAATTATAACATCATCATCATCATAATAAAAGACTATCCAGCAAATAATGCCATTCTGTACTAAACAATATATGTATATCTTCCATTAAATATCTCATTGATTGAAGTTTCAAAACAAAAATTTAACTGTACTAACGATCAAGCACAACACAAGCACAAAATCCAGAGCTATGAAGTTTAATTTACTACTACTTTACCCAAAAGGAAGTGGGAGTGTTCATTATAATCAAACATAACAGTTGTGTGTCATTGTTTGAAATGCTCAACTTCACTTAGGCAAGTGATCTGGCATTCGATAATCAGAGTATATTCATTAAGATCCTTTAGCGACAAGAATTGACTGAATCCCCATGTATTTCTCCGTTGACTGAGCCATGCTGCAACTGCAACATCCAAAACAACCAATTAATAACGCTCAAAAAAATTGAATGATCACTACAAATATAAATATAAACATTCGTGGGATAAAGATGTTAAAAAGTACCATTCGATTCCCAAGTTCTCGGTGGTACAGATTGATTCTTAACGCGTAATGTGTACTCGGCGAACCATTTCTTTCTTGCCACCGGGCTTTCATCTTCATTCAAGACCAAAAATATGGACAGAAACTCGTTTTTGGGAGACCTATCACCTCTGGGATAAACTCTCAGCTTCCTTAATTACAAATTAAACACAAAACAGAACATTAGCATTAAAAAATTTATGAAGATTCGGGGGGTAAAAACTAAGCAAAATGATTTTTTTTTTTTTTTACCATGTTTTGCCTTTAATAGAGAATGCTTCGGACTCACAAAATTCCTCCACAATCTGCGAGTAATTAGACAACTTCCATATATATGAATCCTTAAATTTGTTATCCAGTGTTGTAAGACATTCCCAATTTCCAGAACACTGAACAACAAAGACCTCAGCTCCAAATACACAAGAATCGTCAACAAGATATCCATTAGTAACGTCTTTGAATGTATCCATAGGAAGCAGTTCATCAAAACCTCACTGTGTCTTCCCCACATGAAAGCGTTTCAACTCATTCTCTACATCTGAAATAATTCAAGGGGGCATCAAGGGTTGCTAATGCTAAGTTCACAACAACACACATAGAGAGAGTGATGCAGAAGGGGGCAGGGGAAAGAAAGAAGAGAATAGAAAAAAGAGAGAAAGGGGATAGAGAAAAATTAGAGAGAAGGGGATCTTACAATAGAAGCAATAGATCAATAGCAATTCCTATTGAATAATATACATGTACAAAACAAATGAGTTGAGATAAATAAATGAAAGAATATTTTTAAAATTCTAAAATTAAATAAAAAGATAATAAATGTTGATAGATAACAATAACGACAATTAAAAAATAAACTAAATTTGACAATTAAAGAAAATATATCCAATCTTCTCAAGTCTTCAATATCCTTTTCAAATATTCAATATTTTTTATTATGTCTTTTTGTTCCCATCATAGAGGGAGCTAATTACCTTGAATGACCAAGTACTGATCACGTATTTGATCGTAAACAAAAAACTTGAAATGGACAAAGACTTCTCGAACAGCATTGAGTTCCTCACGTTTTGCGATTGCCAAGTACATTGATATATGCTGATCTCTGACTTGATTCTTTCCACGAAGATAGACAACCATCCTCCTGATAAGTAGACACAGATTTTGCCATAAATATGGAAAGAAAAACGTATATATATATATATATATATCTATATATATTATAATGCACAATTAACATAGAGAGGGAGTGATAGATATAATTCACCAGTTGAAACCACCAGCTTCAAATACATCAGATTCATAACTTTCAAGCTTAGTAACAGCCAGTTTTGAATATGAATTTATCCTAAGCATGTAGTGAGCAGGTCTCTGCCCTCTCTTTGATCTTAATATTCCTGCATATCAGAGACGACGTTAGAATGTTTTCGTTTGCCGTGAGACCAAGGCGTTAATATATAATTTCGTTCTTAATGCTTCCCCCCCCCCCCCCCCCCAATTTTTGGCCTTCAATGATTATAATATCTTATTTGTTAACCATATTATAGAGATGCACATGAGCTCGGTGTTGGCAAGAGTAATCTCGAACGAGGTTAATTTGATTGAACCAAGGCTAGACCCAACTTGAAATTGCATGTTTTTCTAAAAATAAAAAGTTATACTAAACCACAAAACAAAAATAGTTTACAGTGTAAAAGTATTCACTCACCGTTGCAAATTGTAGTATTTGGCGTTACGTAGCGATTTTCTTCCAATTTGATCGTTTCTTCGCTCATTTCCTTTCTCTTTTTCTCCATTTGCGTCATCTGACTCATTATAACTTGGCAAGGGAGAGGGATTCTCCTGACTAGTAGTCTATGGAAAGAGCTGTCAATAGTCAGGAACCTCTGTGTTACACCTCTATTTATAACTCATCATGGAGGTTATTTTATCATTTAATTTGGACCAATCAAATCTCTAAACATAAATACAATCAGCTGATTTGGGCCACATTCAAGATATGTTATTACAATGATATCTTAAATTGATATATTAGATTTAAATCAATGTTTATGTAAATATAATATAATATACCAAACAAGATCAACATTCACTATTCTTGATAGATGAAAATCTCAAGACGTAATTTCTTTGGGAATGCTCTATTAATTGTCCGTTGGAATATGGGTCGATTTGAGAACGAATCTCCTTTAACATTTAAGGATGCTATAGTGGTATTTTTAAATATAAAAAAATGGGTGAAAGGATAACTTATAATATGTGATAGAGTTGCATATGGACAAGCCCAGACTGGGTGTGCTGTTTAGGTTGGGCTCGATTGACTCCAAAAACTTGTACAATTTTTTTTTTTGAAAGATGTATAAAAAATTCTTTGAAAAAATTATAATTAATGTCATTTAAGATATATTATTTATAAAACTAATAATAGAATCAAAAGTAATATTTTTTAAATTACTTATGATTAACAACTATCAATTATTTTTATATAATATTAAGTTAAAAAACAAATTTCAATAAGAATTTGTCCTGAAAAGCTAGAAATTAGGAATTGGTTAGAAACAAGGCAAAAAAAAAAAAGTGAAGAATATCAATAAAAAAGAAAAGAAAATAGTGATCTTGAAATTAGAAACCTAATGAACACGCATTCCAAAAAAGATTGGGAATACCCGCACCCAATGGAAACAATGGCTCAAAAACTCCAGATATAGGAACCCAAGAGTCGATCAACATCTTAAGTCAATTAATTAATATATGAACCTCACCCTAAAGTCTGCTGAATAAACTCTTTTATAAAATCTGCCAAAAAAAAAATTGTACATCAATTGTCTTTAAATAGAAAATAAGATTCTAGACTAACTGGAAACCCTAAAAGCCCTAAAGCCCAATAATCTGATTAGGAAAAGGAAAGTGACAAGGTTAAGACAAAGATCTTAGGTTAGGTGAAATCAGATTTAGTGGTTTAAAATATTAAAGGACATTAGAGGGATACGGTGAATATTAAAATTGCATATGGTGATTTAGAATTCATTCAAATCAGATTTGATCTAATTTCAATAAATTCAATAGATACTGGGCTTTTTAAGCTGACTCCTAAATAAATAATTGACTAAATCCTAATATGCCATATTTAATCAAATAACGGCACCTAAAACTTAAAAAATAATTAAAAATTCGTTTTGGGTTTATTTAAAACAAGTTTAGACCATTAAAAATTAAATACAAAAGAATGACCACTTACAAATAGACATTAAGGACTTCAATGTCATGACACATAGTGAGAAGGCCCACGCAACAAAAGCCCAAGAACCCAAATTAGGAAACAATTCTGAGGGAACCACGAGGGATGAAGGCTTACGCAGGAGCACACGGATGCGGCGTGCCACTTGGAAGCTGAGGGGAGAATGATTGAGTATATATATTCTGTTATGGCAGAGTAGTGCGTGAGCAGAAATTGTGGATTGTCTTCTCTCTCTCATTTCTTCCTCTCTGGACCACTTGTGGTTTTGCTGTTCTTTTTCTCTGATTTCCTTCTAAATACCCTATGTTGTGAATCATTTATACTATGATGTTAGAATGAACTTTATGTTTTCTGGGTATTTCTCGTTATAGACTGCTCTGAATTATTCCTGAAATGATATAACCAGATTTTATATCCATTTGTTTGTTGAGAAACATCTGTTTAAGTTCATAACAAACATCTTGGGCCTGATGAAACTGGATCCAAACCCATCTCTTCAACTATGCCTAAAATTTAAATTAAATATAAAATAAAATACTATTAATTTGTGGCATTCAATAATCAAAGCTTCTTTCACATGAGAGAGGCGTTTCTCCATTTATTTATCCTCCTTTTTTTTTTTTCAACTTCTCAATTATGACCATTTATCAAATCTATGATTAAAACAAATTTATTTAAAAGAATTACATCAATGGCCACAATTCAAAGGTAGACAGAACTACAGGTTAAAGGACAATTTAAACTTTAAACTCCTATTTAATACATTTTCAATTTTAAACAATTAAATTTAGTGTAGTTTTGCCTCCACAGTTAAATGTTGATTACTTTTTGAAAAAATGGGGTTTGATATGCAATTTTACTCAATGGAGGGTAGGAGAAAAGTACACATTAGACTCCATTTTTTTAAAAAATAACAGACCTTTACTTTAATTTAACAATGGGAGCAAAATTGTTTTAACTTTAATTATTTAAAATTCAAAATGTATTAAATAAGAGTCTATAATTCATGGTTCAAATTACATATTCATCCTCTAATATAATGAAAATTATATAAATAATATGTTAAAATTTTAAATTTTATCATATCTAATATTTTCTACAAATAATAAAGTTATTTTCTTTCCTCCCTATTGTCTCTTAGCCAAGTACTATTTGGTTTCTATTTGTAAGAGGAATTATCGCTTTTTACTTATTTTTTTTATATTAGCAAAATTACATATTTTAATAAGTATTTATTACATATTTTTTAAATCACCCCTTATAATTTACATTAATGAAAGAAAATTAATGCATGCTTATATTGATTAACATAGGGCATTTTAGTCTAATTTTTTTATTTTTAGACATAATTATTATGGTTAACTTTCTTAAACTGTGTGATACAATTTTTTTTTCTTATATATAAAAGCGGAGGGAGTATAAGGAGAGAAAATCACATCCCTCTACTTTTCTCTTTTCTTTATTTTCTCTTTACAATTTTGTTTCCTTCTTATTATTTTTGTTTTAGCCAATCACTGCAGTAATGTCTTAAATTCTAACAAAAAACCTTAAAACAGTAGAAAACCACACTTGTGGTTATAAACAATAACGTCAAAGACTACTTTCTTAGGGACCAATAGAAATTATAAAGCTAATATTTTAAAAAATTGAAAGGTTTGTGACAGATTTTTTAAGTTTGTGGTAAACCATTTGTACGGGGAAGACCTCGAGCATGCTCATATGATAGCTAGGATTTCCTTAACTCAGATATTTAATTTTGTATCATAGATCAACCACCATCTCTGTTTTCAGAGATGGATAATGATGCTGGAGACTAGGGGCTGTTTGGCTTCTGTTTTCAAAAATAATTTTTTTAAAAAAATTAGAACAATTGTTTGGAATACATTATAGTTACATTATATTTAATTATTTGAAAATTATAGTTACATTAACCAATAATTATCATAAGCCATTACTATTAGCAGTTGGTAACGATCACTATTAAATAGTTTTTAGTTCTAAAATCATTTTTAAATGAATACAAACAAACATATTTTCTTTTTTTAAATAATTTTAAAAATTGTATTGTACACAGTTTTTAAAAACAAAAAATAAGAATAGAAATCAAAACGGCGCTAGGTTGTGCTCTCTTGTTTCTTGTTTTTTTTTTCCCCTTTCCATTGCTTTGTTTGTAACTGTTAGTTCTGTAACAGATTTCAGCACTATTCAAAAAGAAAAAAGTTTGAGGTAAACTGCTCTATGTTAAAAATATCAATTTCGTGCCAATCAAATATACATTCATTTAAAAAATTTATATTGTATTTCAAAAGTAATGACTATCAACAGTCAACACGATAAATGAAATTTGAATTATTCCAACAAAGGAAAAATTGATTATTTTATTCGTTATCGTACAATACGAACATGTCGACATTAGAGTGATCTATGGACACACTTGAACACTTGATATATTCTGTTAATTTTTCTCTATAGCATATATATTCTGTATCAGGATTAAATCATGCACTATTTTCTGTCTTTCTCCGTCAAATACAAGGTTTTTAATTTGTTAAATCATCATACATGCGAACATCATAGCATCCAGGATGTCGTCACTCACTAGTGATTCACTTTTTGGATATCTTGATAAAACGCAAATTCTGTTATTTACTTATTTTCCCCACGGTATATGTACATCTTGTTTAGAAAACGATAATAAAATGACGATTTCATTTTGGTTGAAACATAAAAAATACCTTGAATAGTTGACGCAAAATGAAATTAAATTTGTGTGAAAACTTTTTTTTCTTGGGCCAAATTGTGTGAAATTAGGTGTCTTCTTTGATTTTTTTTTTTTCATGTTAATGAGCTTTGATAATTTGTATGGACAGGAGATAATTGTTGGAATAGTTTTTAAATATTTTTTCTAAAACGTTTGAAAATTTTTCTTCTAATGTAATTTATATAATAATTAACTTATAATATATCCCATAAATAAAAGAGTTTTTACTTTTTATGCAATGAATTTTAAATTTAAAATATTTAAGTTATTCTTTTTTAAAACGTTGGGAAGTTATGATAGTAACTAGATTTTCGGGTTGGAGAAGTTATATTCAAATTTTAAATGTTCTTAAATTCAACATTATTCAAATGTAATAAATAATTAAATAGTTTGTCATATAAAATAAAAATAAGCTGCTGATATATTCGCTAACCTCCTTATCATTCATTTTTCAAATATAAATATTAATAACTTATACCCGAACATTTACTTCTGTTGAAAACCACGGTTTGCACCTTTTCAAAGGCCATGGCGAAAAGCACCAAAATCTACACTTTCTTGGCCTTCCTCTTGCTAGTCCTTCCAGCCCTAGCTGTTTCAGAGTGCACATGTGACAAAGAAGACGAAGTTCATGACAAAGCTGAGGCTCTCGAGTACAAAACAGCAGCCCTAGCTTCTATACTCTTTGCGAGTGCAATCGGAGTTCTGATTCCAGTCCTCGGAAAGTTCACTCCGGCATTAAGTCCCGAGAAGGACATCTTTTTCATGATCAGGGCCTTCGCGGCTGTTGTGATACT